TTAAGGTCACTTGGTCAGATAAATAAAATACTAAAAATTATTTTCAATTCTTTTTTACTTTTTCTCATGATATGTGATAATTTGTTGTTTTGAAGTTTTCAGGATAAATATTCAACAGGTTTTAATTATTTATTTTGTTAACTATTTATATAGATAGCGACAGTAAAGATATTTTTTTTTACATTTTCCTTATATTTTTGTCTGAAGAATAAAACAATTCATTATTTTTTTTTTACATTTAAAGTTTTCAAAGTTGGTAGATTTGTAAACCAAGTATTAAAAGAAGCCTGGCCAAAACCTGAAAGTCCTGGGCTTTATTTCACGAAGTGATCTTAGAGCTAAGGCTGACTCTAGTCTGTGTTTAAGTAGGGCAGTTATAATTGTCTTGGGGCTGTGATCGCTTTGTGGAATGGGACCCTGAAGCCAAACTTGGACTTGTGATTTTAGATATTGGATGGATTGAATTATTAAATTTCCTAAGTCATACAGAGTACATATATAGATGTAGGCAACAAATGTTTTTTTTAATGTGTTTTTGTGCACATGAAATAGCAATACACCATTATTGTATAGATTCTTTGTTAATATATGCTGAGAAGAAATATAATAATTCTAACTAATCTATAAAACCGATGGCAACAAATGGCTTTGAGCTTTAAAGGCTTGGAGGCCTTGTTATGAACACAATTAAAAAGTTGTGGTGTGAATTTAAGTGAATGTCTTATTAATATTCATGAACCTGAGTTGCAAGAAGTTCTTCACCAGTTGTCATTGTCCGTGCTTCTTATGGGCTATACTTTGAGTTGTCAGTACAGACTCTATACATGTATATGTTCTATTTAAGGCCTTCCTGTCATTCTTGATGTCTGAATCCAGACCGAAAAATGTGGATAAACGCTTTACGAATGTGTCAGAAAAACTAAGCATTTTCACTCCGATAGATGAAATATTGCCAATGTGACGTTAAATTTTAACTCACTCACTCACTCCGATAGAAATGTTTTCGGGAGAAACCTTAGTAGCATTTTTTTTTAGCTTAAAATGTTTCTAATGAGATCAAATTGTGTGGGAGTTTGGGGCGTTTTCTGTTTTGTGGTTCCTAAGGCAGTAAACATTGATACTGTGGTCGAACATGTAACGTGTTGAATTAAGTTCGAACTGCTGTCAGTTACTAGGTCTTGCTATGCAAGGAATGATTGGAGTTGCACGTTGGCAAGGTGACCATTGTTTTTTTCCTTATGTACATGTATCTGGATATCGTTGCATTAAGATTTTTGAAATAAATAATACTTTATAATGTATATTTGGTAATGTATATTGTTAAGAATATCGCCATCAGTATCAGGCTACCATATGGTACAGAAATGGATATTTGCGGGTTAAAAAAGTGTCGTTCCAAAAATTATGTTCTTTTTTTTCAAGTCATCTTCATGTATGATCTTTTCAATTTGGATGAAACTATTGAATTGTTCATGTGTTAAGGTGCGATTTCATGCGACATAATTAATTATGTTAATTTCAGTCTGGTTAAAATGTGCGAGACCCTTTGTAAGGATATGTTCCCTGATGGTTGCATTCCATGCTCATTTAGTCATGTCTAGTTCACCATCAATCACCAGCACAGTAGCTTGATGTAGATGTCACCACCACTGAATGAAATATATTTGTGATAACAGCATTGTTGTAGATTTCACCATACAACCAGCAACAGTTGTGTATGTGTGATCTGAATATGTGTACAGTGAGTCGACTCCATTGGAATACACTGAAGGAAGTGTTTTATCATGTTAATAACATTGCAAGTTGTGTACATTTCAGAAATGAACATATTGATGTCTGTGTTTGTTATGTGTATGTATACATAGTGTGTCCTAATTGGAGGTATCTTGTCAGTAGCAGGTCATTGTTCATGTTTAACCATCATCTGTCATTTAGGGTATGGGTCATGTTGTATCTTAGTGCTTTCATTACAAATATGGAACTATATTTTACCTATAATGAGAAATCTCAGTGCGCAGATGTGAATGTTTGGTTTCTGTTGGAAGAGACAGCTCATTTTTGGATTTTAATGAGGTTTAAATACACTTTTGAACTAAAATAAAATTTAATTTTTTCAGAGTTGAATAATTTTCAAATTGTTGAGGTTTAAATGTTGATGCAGAATTTTATCAGAGTTGGTTAAAAACATTTAATTACATGACAAATACTTTTGTTCAAATTGATTTCAATGTTTGACTACATTTTCATCAGATTATCTTTCCAGTTACCCATTAATTCAAATCACAGGCACTTGACACCAAACATCTTTTCAGAAACCTGTTGACATTAAATGTACATTTTGGTGTTGAGTACCTGATTCAGACATCATTGCAGGCTGAAGTACTTCAATCAAATACATTGTCCATCCTGCAGGTTCACATGGGAGCAGTCATACACCAAACAATGTGAGGCACATGCTGGACTTACCATGTTCATGTGTGAAGTTTGTAGATCAGTACTGTAGTTGTTATTGTGGGTAGTAGGTATGAATCACTGTAGAGATAAGCCACCCCCACAGCTTGACTACAGCATCAGTGCATGGGACGGATCACTGGCATTTAAGGTGTTGTAGAGGAGGAGGTGGGAAGGTTTAAAGAAAAGTGGATAAAATTTGAATTTTTACATTCAATTTTTGAATTAAATACCAAATTACAAACAGTACATTGAAGCTCCTTTTAATATTTTTGCAAAGTTTAATGAACAAGACTATAATTTTTATCTTTTTTTTCATCATTTGAGCTCCCTAGTGATGTAGAATGCAGATTTCCGTCAAGAAAATATTCTGGCTATTTACAGTTATTTTCCATCTGTATTATGGGGGGTGAACGTGACTTAAGTACTTGTCCACAGCTCTTGAGAGACTAGTGGTTCTTGTATCATAACTCGATGTGAAAAGATTTTAACTGAAGCCTGCCGATGCTGTAGACAGGCCTGGGTGTATCCTAGACCTACTAGACTCGAGTTGAGTCTGTTGTAATGCAGTTTAATAGCCTTACACATGTTCCCTGTACTGTGGAGGTCCACCCCTAGCCACTCACAGTCCCCCTGTACAGAGTCTGTACAGTTTCTAGGATCATACGTCTCTGAGTTGTCTCTGTATTGTCTTCATGCATAATAGCATGCTAATAAAACAACTACACAGTTGTAGGCCATTTGTTTTTCTTCTTTGTCATCTTCAGGCAGAACTAATGAAATTGACCGCCTCTGTGGTCTAGTGGATATCGCATCTGCCTGGAGAGTGGAAGGTCATGAGTTGATCCCTGGCTGCATCATATAAAAAGATGTTAAAAGATGCAACTTGGTGCTTGGCATTAAGGGGCTAAAACAAGGACTGGTCGACTGAGTCGGTATACTGTGAAGGGGGTATTCATTTTAAACTGTTTCATGGTATCTCAGTGGGCTAGCACTATAAAATCGGCCAAACTATACAAGCACACACACACACACACATGTGCATGCACGTCACTATATAAGTGCAATAATCTTGAACGCAATGTTAAGACCCCACCTCACCATTCAAATAGGTACTGTGCAACACATGCTGGGGAGAGTTGCATCCCTTAGCCTTAGCCATTGATTGTGAGTTCAACACAGAAACGATCCCATACTTGTGGGTTTTACCAAAGTACAGAAACGTTTTATGAACTTGGGCCCTCCTCTTGCATGAAGCTGTTTCTCTATGATGTAACTGTCATCTCAGTGGGTGCAGGGGCGGTCGGGTAGCCTAGTGGTTAAAGCGTTTGCTCGTCACGCCAATGACCCGGGTTCGATTTCCGACATGGGTACAATGTGTGAAGCCCATTTCTGGTGTCCCCCGCCGTGATATTGCTGAAATATTGCTAAAAGCGGCGTAAAACCATACTCATTCACTCACTCAGTGGGTGCAGACTTGTGGATCTAATTGTCAATGTTTCTGAACCCAAATTCACAAAGGCAGAGGCAGATCCAGGATTTTGAAAATGGCTGTGTGTTTGTTCAAGTGACTTGGCCAAGGATGCATTTAACATGTAAAGTGTCTGAAAAGTGTGTGTTGGGGTGTGTCTGCTAATGGAAGGTGTATCAACACCTGTGTTCCCGCACTACACCTTGGTGATGTGATATTCCTGGCTTTGATTCTCCACAAGTTATAAACCTACTGGCTGTTTGTGTAACTCAATATGGAGTTTTTTAAATTGTGGTAAGACCTTATAGGAGGTATTACAACGATTGTAACACCTCGCAGGAGGTATTACAACAATTTTATAAACCTATTCATTGGGATCGCTATTAAGTAAGAGACTTCTTTCTATAGGCATTAAAACCTATTGTGAGGTTTTACTTTCCAGTCTGGTTAAATCTCATAAACAGGGACGTTGTAATGTCCCTGGGATTTTATAGGATATTCAAGTCATATTTGCTATAATATCCCAGGGATTTTATATAATGTCCTGGGTATTTTATTAATATAACTTCCGTTCAGATTGTAACATGTAATGAAATGTAAAATGAAATGACAAATGTTTTCTTTATATTCCCGAGGATCGAACTCGCAACCTTCATATCTGTAGCCCAGTGAGTGTACCACGAGGCTACAGAGGTGTTGATAAGCCTCACTGGTTTTTAGAATGTCCTTTTCAAGATCCGTACGCCAGCAACAGATATTTTACGTGCGTTTCCTAAGGTTCATGGAAAGTATGTTCGAAACATAAAAATGTTGATAAATGTTGTTTTAAGTTTCTTTTTTCGGTTTATAAGTATGGAAAAACACTTTCCCTCGGTTTTGGTAGACAGAGCATGCCCTGGGGGTCAGGAAAAAACGTAAGCGTGTTTTCTCCAATGCATACAGTATACCTGGTAATCTGGCTACAGTATTCCTGAAGCTGTGACCAAACCACTCTCCCTTCTCTACATATGCGAGGGTATGGTCTTTAACCACCAGGCTGCCCGAACAAGAGGCAAGGTTCAAAGACAACAAATGCTGGTTTGTCTAACAGAAGTTTATATAAGAAAAAAGAACAGAGAACATATAATACAACAGAGAACATGACAACAGCTACAGCCAAATCCCTGAATGGCTAACTCACAACATCGTCAACCTAACTTCAACAATAATCATGTCTCACTGGGCAACTCACTTCACTACCCTACAAGCAATATTGCACATGGCAAGCTACAGGTAAAGACGAAGTATACACTCAGGATGTTATACAAATGTACAATAAGAGAAATATGGTGACCAGAGTTCATGAAATGTTATGGCAAGAAGACGTGACAAGGACTTCAGCAAACTATTACATGAACTGTTATTATTTCTTAACCGCTTAGCTCCTATGATAATGAAAGTTGTGCAGTACTTAATATATAATAGTACATTATATTTAGTCTTACATTATGTCACGAGGAGATCTTAGTTAACTCATAAAACTTAAAGCATCACTCACATGAAAACAGCAGTACATCATCACTAAAAATAGGATTTAAATAAAAAAAATCAAATATGGCATAAGTCTTATTGTTCTCAGAATGTTTTTGATCCAGTCCTTTTTTGATTGTTCTTGATCCAATCCCTGTTTATTAAAAACTGTTACTTTATTTCTCACTTTATAATCAATAATGGAATACTATTCTAAAATAATAAGTATTTTATAAATCTTGTTGGTTCTATTATAAAGCATAATTAAACAAAGGCACATGAATTCTTCAAGGAGAAAAAGTGAGTATGGAGTTGTGTGCTTCTAAAATTCACAAAATGATACCTGACAACTTTATCAGTTACTTCTGTGTTTGAGTATTTAAATAATGAAGAAGATTGCTGGTCGGAAAATCCCATCAAATGCCAGATCGTCTTCTAAACACAACCTACACTGTCAACCGTTTTGTGCGCCCCCCACAGTAGAGGAATGGCTAACCACAACTCAATCCCAAACAAGACATAAAAAATATACTATGTAATACATGGCAAACATAAATATGCATGTAATCAAAATAGAATTATGTCATTAGTAAAAAAGCTGTACTTAGATATATATTTCCTTTAATAGGAATGTAGAATGATTGCAAAATAAACAAAAGGACTACATTGTGTCCAATGCTATATACCGGTTGTCTCACTAACAACAGCGTATGTACTTCAGTTCAAACAATCGACCAGAAATGTTTACGCAAGTACATAAACGAATATAATAAAATGATTGTGCTCACAAATTGATTTCCAAAATGCAACTCATCAAAAGTAAATAATAATAAAAACAAAAATATTTTTCTAGTTGAATAAGTCCTTTCTTGTTTGTCTATTACAACGTAAGACTCATGAATGCACATATGGACTGCTTTTACCCTCATAATGAGTGAGTGAGTATGGTTTTACGCCGCCTTTAGCAACATTCCAGCAATATTACGGAGGGGACACCAGAAATGGGCTTCACACATTGTACCCATGTCGGGAATCGAACCCAGGTCTTTGGCGTGATGAGTGAACGCTTTAACCACTAGGCTACCAGACAGCCCCCCCCTCTTTTTTTTTACCCTCATAAACTTATTGTTGACTTCAGGAGTATTGGTGTTGGTTACTGGCAGAGTTTGGTCAATGTGAACAAAATATTCCAGTGATGAAAACAATTGACTTGACTTTCCCAAAATACTTCTTTAAAGAAATAACAAATGTTTTGTTTTCTATTATTTCTATCTTACCACTTGCTCCATCGGATTTTAAACAAAATCAATTAATTAAAGTCTAGTTGTAGAGGAGGTCAGTCAGCTGACCTAGTTGTACAATGTCAGCTGTAGTACGACCATAAATCTGTATTAGAGCAGTTAGATAATCCTAGCACTAATTAGGCCTGTAGCATCTACTGACCCATCTGACCTTGTGATACAAAACATAAGCTCCCTAATTCAATATATCCTTACACTGAAATGAACAAGCACATCCTTGACAACAAATTAACAAAGTTTATTGACTTTGAGTCAGGTGAGCTAAAAATTCAAATGGCGAGCACACCAAACTATACTGTAAATATGGCAATCAAAATGGAAGCAGTTAAAAAAACAAGACAGATCTACTTGCTGTTCTTCCAGTCAAGGAAAAAACCCAACAACTTCCACAAACAAAATATCAATGGTAAAACAAAGTAAAAAGCTTGTAGAAATATTTTATCTAAAAGTTTAAATATTATGCACAAAATCATTATCAAACAATAAAACTTGGCAAATGCTGAACAGGATTCATTAATATTATCTCAGAGAATAGTAACTATAGATAACATAATGACATTTTCTCATTAAATATCTAGTAAACACAAGATAACGTACAAATGTCCAAAAGTTTTGAACTTCTAAGGTTTTTTTCGTTGTCATGGTTTGAGAGATCTAAGCACATGTCATACATGTGACAGTTTCTCGGTGATGGAGATGGAACTATATGTCTCCTTTGACCCTTGACAACTTAATTGTGTCAGTAATTCAAGAGGAAACACAAAACTGTTAATTACACAGAATGTAGAGTGTTTGTTATAAGTTCCAGTTCTTTAAACTTTATCACTGTTATGTTTACATCCAGTTTTGTATCATGTAATATAACATCTCGAATGAAATGCTGTCGAAGAATAAACACAAATAAACGAGAGAAATGACCCAGAGGAACACAATGTCATTTTGAGTATTTACTTCTCGCACGAATGAATTTACTGTAAGCTGCGTACTGCACACAGAAACTTCAAGCATCCACGGAAATTTGACAAGCAAATTTGTTATATCAAAGAGAATGCCAAATACATATTTCAAAGCTTGAGAAAGATGGCCAAAATGTGTAAAGGTGTGTGGACGGACAGATGGACCGATGGATGGACAAGAGACACTGGACATGTGATCAGGTTGCATACTACAGCAGAGTGAGGGTCTACACTGGGGGTATTCATGCTGATATCTCCACTCCACTGTCACAGCTGAGTGAGGGTCTACACTGGAGGTACTCATGCTGATATCATCACTCCACTGTCACAGCTGAGTGAGGGTCTACACTAGGGGTACTCCTGCAGATATCTCCACTCCACTGTCACAGCAGAGTGAGGGTCTACACTGGGGGTATTCATGCTGATATCATCACTCCACAGTCACAGCTGAGTGAGGGTCTACACTGGGGGTATTCATGCTGATATCATCACTCCACAGTCACAGCTGAGTGAGGGTCTACACTGGAGGTACTCATGCTGATATCATCACTCCACTGTCACAGCAGAGTGAGGGTCTACACTGGGGGTACTCCTGCAGATATCACCACTCCACAGTCACAGCTGAGTGAGGGTCTACACTGGGGGTACTCCTGCAGATATCACCACTCCACTGTCACAGCTGAGTGAGGGTCTACACTGGGGGTACTCCTGCAGATATCTCCACTCCACTGTCACAGCTGAGTGAGGGTCTACACTGGGGGTACTCCTGCAGATATCTCCACTCCACTGTCACAGCTGAGTGAGGGTCTACACTGGGGGTACTCCTGCAGATATCACCACTCCACAGTCACAGCTGAGTGAGGGTCTACACTGGGGGTACTCCTGCAGATATCTCCACTCCACTGTCACAGCTGAGTGAGGGGCTACACTGGGGGTACTCCTGCAGATATCTCCACTCCACAGTCACAGCTGAGTGAGGGTCTACACTGGGGGTACTCCTGCAGATATCTCCACTCCACAGTCACAGCTGAGTGAGGGTCTACACTGGGGGTACTCCTGCAGATATCTCCACTCCACTGTCACAGCTGAGTGAGGGTCTACACTTGGGGTACTCCTGCAGATGTCACCACTCCACAGTCACAGCAGAGTGAGGGTCTACACTGGGGGTACTCCTGCAGATATCACCACTCCACTGTCACAGCTGAGTGAGGGTCTACACTTGGGGTACTCCTGCAGATATCACCACTCCACAGTCACAGCAGAGTGAGGGTCTACACTGGGGGTACTCCTGCAGATATCACCACTCCACTGTCACAGCTGAGTGAGGGTCTACACTGGGGGTACTCCTGCAGATATCTCCTCTCCACAGTCACAGCAGAGTGAGGGTCTACACTGGGGGTACTCCTGCAGATATCTCCACTCCACTGTCACAGCTGAGTGAGGGTCTACACTGGGGGTACTCCTGCTGATATCACCACTCCACCGTCACAGCTGAGTGAGGGTCTACACTTGGGGTACTCCTGCAGATATCTCCACTCCACAGTCACAGCTGAGTGAGGGTCTACACTGGGGGTACTCCTGCAGATGTCACCACTCCACAGTCACAGCAGAGTGAGGGTCTACACTGGGGGTACTCCTGCAGATATCTCCACTCCACTGTCACAGCTGAGTGAGGGTCTACACTTGGGGTACTCCTGCAGATATCTCCACTCCACAGTCACAGCTGAGTGAGGGTCTACACTGGGGGTACTCCTGCAGATATCACCACTCCACTGTTACAGCTGAGTGAGGGTCTACACTGGGGGTACTCCTGCAGATATCTCCACTCCACAGTCACAGCAGAGTGAGGGTCTACACTGGGGGTACTCCTGCAGATATCTCCACTCCACAGTCACAGCAGAGTGAGGGTCTACACCCGCAGATATCTCCACTCCACAGTCACAGCTGAGTGAGGGCCTACACTGGGGGTACTCCTGCAGATATCTCCACTCCACTGTCACAGCTGAGTGAGGGTCTACACTGGGGGTACACCTGCAGATATCTCCACTCCACTGTCACGGTGCAATCCAATATCATCCAACTCAACTCAGAACTGATTTTTCTCAAACTAATTCAAACCGATTAGCAACCATGATGGTACAGTCCAGGCAAACAAAGATACCCCTTTTATTACAAATCTTTAAATCTTGACATGGTAATTATACAAACATTGGACTTTTTACCAGACAGGACCAAAAATTATTGATCTTAATGAAAATAAATTCAGGAGGCATGTGTTAACCGACCCACATGGTGAGATAAAGCTTTGATAAATTATATGATCTGAATGACGCTCATTCTAGCTTCAAAAAATGAAATAATCTGAATGATACTTGTACAGTTACAGTCTCTGAAAAAGATGGACGCCCATTGAGAGTAAATTGATACATCAAACATGTCTTGTGGAACCCTCCTTGAAGTATTCATAAGGAAGTTAGTCTATACCTCGTAGAAAGAGTAAAAAAACCATTTAAATATCTTAATGCATTGATAACAGTATGAAATATGTTGTGATGAAATACATGGTATAAGAAAATTGACATATTGTGTCCATGCACATTGCATTCACTATTAATGTGCTCCTGCATTAACTCAACATAGCCTGAATGTACAGTGTACGTAACTAGGACAGTATACCTTTAATACCGATATTGAGTATTGCATAATATATGAAAGAAATATCACAACATACAGGGGACGAGTCTCTATGTACAAGGCGACTTTATATGTTACGACTAATTTCCAATTTGTTTTGCAAAAATATTACTCATTATTTTCATAAAATAATTTATTGAACAAACTTTTCATCAATATTTCTGGTATATTTCTGGGTACTAAATAACCGAGTGACTGGATACCTTAAAGCGATATGTTCTCCATATCTGGATCAGCATGACAACAGTGCAAGGTCGATAATAATAAGCACCAACCTAAATCTCTGGCTTGACAGTTTAGGACTGGGAATTAGGGAAGGCCTTGAATGCCTTTCTCCTCTCACCTGGTAAAAGTTGATGTGAGATGAAATTTGATATACCCAGACAGTCAAAAAGTGAAACTGTACAAGTGTATTCAAATGAGGTTTACATTTCTGGATAGTCTATATCAATTGTTCAATAGGCATTACTTAGAAGATGACGGATGACAAAGTAGACACAATTTATGGACAACTTCTTTAACAACTGTAAAGTTGACGTTTCGGTATAGATCCTTATACCGTTGTCAACGTCGCTGTTACAGGAATTAAAGAAGTTGTTATCCATAAATTGTGTCTACTTTGAAGTCTATATCAGTTACGGTTTTGTTTCACTTCTAATCTAACGTAGTAGTTACTGTTTTAATAGATTCCACCAAACAATCTCAGCGCTAAGACAACCATAACTCCTTGCCTTAGCAATGACTTATGACATAGCGTTAAGATCGCTGTGTGGAATGGTGCTCCCTGATAGTGGCTATCCACGCTATTACTTTATGACACTCCTGATACACGATTTGTACCACATGTACCCTGATACGTCAACACTGCACAGCTACGTGATACACCTCAGTGAGGGCTGAAGCTTGTAGTGTTACTTGGACATGACAGTATGAGATTATGGCCTATTTGTGAAGGTACATGGGCACGTCTGTGTGGATGCGGTGCTGACTAGAGCTGTAAGGGGGGGCGGGGGCGGGCTACCCGGAGCGGAAGTTGTCCACCCGGTACCACACCCTCAGGTCACCGACGCGGCGGATGAAGAAGTAGGCCAGCAGCATCCCGAATATCTGTGAACAGGAAACACACACACTTGAGTGAAAGGGCTTGGTGGAAGGATGGATACATGGAGGGTTGTTTTGATGGAACAATAGACAGATGGTGGGTTTGATGGATACTGCTAGTTTAATGGATGGATGGTTGTTTTGATGGAACAATAGACAGATGGTGAGTTTGATGGATTTACTTTATGGATAGATGGATAGTTTAATGGATAGATGGTTGGTCTGATGGATACCGCGAGTGTAATGGATGGATGGTTGTTTTGATGGAACAATAGACAGATGGTTGGTTTGATGGATACTGCTAGTTTAATGGATAGATGGTTGGTCTGATGGATACCGCGAGTGTAATGGATGGATGGTTGGTTTGATGGAACAATAGACAGATGGTTGGTTTGATCGATACTGCTAGTGTAATGGATGGATGGTTGTTTTGATGGATACTGCTAGTGTAATGGATGGATGGTTGTTTTGATCGATACTGCTAGTGTAATGGATAGATGGTTGGTCTGATGGATACCGCAAGTGTAATGGATGGATGGTTGGTTTGATGGAACAATAGACAGATGGTGGGTTTGATGGATACTGCTAGTTTAATGGATGGATGGATGGATGGTTGTTTTGATGGAACAATAGACAGATGGTTGGTTTGATGGATACTGCTAGTTTAATGGATAGATGGTTGGTTTGATGGAACAATAGACAGATGGTTGGTTTGATGGATACTGCTAGTTTAATGGATAGATGGTTGGTTTGATGGAACAATAGACAGATGGTTGGTTTGATGGATACTGCTAGTTTAATGGATAGATGGTTGGTCTGATGGATACCTTGAGAATAATGGATGGATGGTTGTTTTGATGGAACAATAGACAGATGGTTGGTTTGATGGATACTGCTAGTGAAATGGATGGATGGATGGATGGATGGATGGTTGTTTTGATGGAACAATAGACAGATGGTGGGTTTGATGGATACTGCTAGTTTAATGGATGGATGGATGGATGGATGGTTGTTTTGATGGAACAATAGACAGATGGTGGGTTTGATGGATACTGCTAGTTTAATGGATGGATGGTTGTTTTGATGGAACAAAAGACAGATGGTTGGTTTGATGGAACAATAGACAGATGGTTGGTTTGATGGATACTGCTAGTTTAATGGATGGATGGTTGTTTTGATGGAACAATAGACAGATGGTTGGTTTAATGGAACAATAGACAGATGGTTGGTTTGATGGATACTGCTAGTTTAATGGATAGATGGTTGGTTTGATGGAACAATAGACAGATGGTTGGTTTGATGGATACTGCTAGTTTAATGGATAGATGGTTGGTTTGATGGAACAATAGACAGATGGTTGGTTTGATGGATACTGCTAGTTTAATGGATAGATGGTTGGTTTGATGGAACAATAGACAGATGGTTGGTTTGATGGATACTGCTAGTTTAATGGATAGATGGTTGGTCTGATGGATACCTTGAGAATAATGGATGGATGGTTGTTTTGATGGAACAATAGACAGATGGTTGGTTTGATGGATACTGCTAGTGAAATGGATGGATGGATGGATGGATGGATGGTTGTTTTGATGGAACAATAGACAGATGGTGGGTTTGATGGATACTGCTAGTTTAATGGATGGATGGATGGATGGATGGTTGTTTTGATGGAACAATAGACAGATGGTGGGTTTGATGGATACTGCTAGTTTAATGGATGGATGGTTGTTTTGATGGAACAAAAGACAGATGGTTGGTTTGATGGAACAATAGACAGATGGTTGGTTTGATGGATACTGCTAGTTTAATGGATGGATGGTTGTTTTGATGGAACAATAGACAGATGGTTGGTTTAATGGAACAATAGACAGATGGTTGGTTTGATGGATACTGCTAGTTTAATTGATGGATGGTTGTTTTGATGGAACAATAGACAGATGGTGGGTTTGATGGATACTGCTAGTTTAATGGATGAATGGATGGATGGAACAACAGATGGATGGTTGTTTTGAAGGAACAATAGATGGATGGTTGTTTTGATGGCTACTGCTAGTGTAACGATGGATGGGTTGTTTTGATGGAACAATAGACAGATGGTTGGTTTGATGGAACAATAGACAGATGGTTGGTTTGATGGATACTGCTAGTTTAATGGATGGATGGTTGTCTTAATGGAACAATAGACAGATGGTGGGTTTGATGGAACAATAGACAGATGGTGGGTTTGATGGACACTGCTAGTTTAATGGATGGATGGTTGTTTTGATGGAACAATAGACAGATGGTGGGTTTGATGGAACAATAGACAGATGGTGGGTTTGATGGATACTGCTAGTTTAATGGATGGATGGTTGTTTTGATGGATACTGCTAGTGTAACGATGGATGGTTGTTTTGATGGAACAATAGACAGATGGTTGGTTTGATGGAACAATAGACAGATGGTGGGTTTGATGGATACTGCTAGTTTAATGGATGGATGGTTGTTTTGATGGATACTGCTAGTGTAACGATGGATGGTTGGTTTGACAGAACAATAGATGGATGGTGGGTTTGATGGATACTGCTAGTTTAATGGATGGATGGTTGTTTTGATGGATACTGCTAGTATAACGATGGATGGTTGGTTTGACGGAACAATAGATGGATGGTGGGTTTGATGGATACCGCGAGTGTAATGGATGGATGGTTGTTTTGATGGAACAATAGACAGATGGTTGTTTTGATGGAACAATAGACAGATGGTTGTTTTGATGGAACAATAGACAGATGGTTGGTTTGATGGAACAATAGACAGATGGTTGTTTTGATGGAACAATAGACAGATGGTTGTTTTGATGGAACAATAGACAGATGGTTGTTTTGATGGAACAATAGACAGATGGTTGGTTTGATGGAACAATAGACAGATGGTTGGTTTGATGGAACAATAGACAGATGGTTGTTTTGATGGAACAATAGACAGATGGTTGGTTTCATGGAACAATAGACAGATGGTTGATTTGATGGATACTGCTAGTTTAATGGATGGATGGTTGTTTTGATGGCCTTATTGACTGTTATTTTAAGCATTACAGATACAGTCTTTCTATTTCTACTTAAGACTGGATTCTGAGTTTCATCCTCATTCGAAGGCCTAGCATTGATGTATGAGCTCCCCCTGTGATGACACCCACCTGTGGGATGGCACACCCCAGAGCTGTGGCACCCACGTAGTCCAGATGACTGGCCAGCCAGTTGAGGAAGGCGTCGGTGCAGCCCTCCGTGTAGATGACGTCACTCAGCTGGAACACAAGGCTCTCAAGTCTTCAATGGGCAAACATCTTGTGCTGTTGCTACATTATAACCTGCACTCATTAGTTCACTCATTTAACCAGGTAGTAGTTACACACTAAAGAGGTGGTCCCTACTCTGTGATGACCTGCCATACACTATCAGAGGCCTATTCTGATCTCATTTCTCTATGCACCACTCATTGTGGATTGTAAACAAGTGTTTATGATTTAACAGTTTCACATGGCTGTCAGATATCAGATACAGTAATAGTACATGATACAAATATTTACAACAAAACACAACGTCCTTGGTTTCATGAAGTAACATGGTCGAGATGGACTGGTATACTTACTGTAGCATTCCCCATCACCCCGTAGCCACACGTCTTGGGCAGGGCAACATTCTGAAGCAGATGCACAGATATAGGTCATCATAGCGGCATAAGAAATGAAATGGGCTCTAACGTCACGTTCAAGATTATTGCGATTACATAGCGATGAGCTTCACATGTATGTATAGGCGAGTGAGTGAATATTTAAAGTCACATGAGCAATATTTCAGCCATATCATGATGTATGTATGTATAAGGCTGCTTGTACTAGTCCAGTTTAACATGAATACCCCACTCAGACACAGTATACTGACTCCGAGCCGACCAGTCCTTGTTTTAGCCCCTTAATGCTGAGCGCCAGGCTGGGTAACAAGTACCATTTTTGAATGTCTTTTGCTGTGAACCACTGACCGACCTTCCATTCAGACACTCTATCTACTGGACCACAGAGACAGTCTAGTGGCATCGGACAGGAAACACAGATGAGGGTGAGCAAGATTTACTGAATTCTTTGTACGCAGAAAAAAGAAAGTTTTACTTTCTTAGAAGGTATTTTTCACCTTAAGAAAAAAATCTGTGATTATATTTTTTCTTTCATGGATTTGACTGACAGGCAAAAAGCCACCATCAGTAAAATAAAATATAAACAGCTTCAATTTATTTCTATTCATCTGACAACTCCATCTTTGAAAAAGACAACAAAAATCCAAAATCAAATTTTTAGAAAAATATCTTTAACCATGAAGTTATTAAAGTCTGGTTTTGTTACTGAAGTTGCTGTGAAACCCCAATAACTTGATGTTGTCAAGGTAATGAAGAATATATTGAAATACTGTAGTTGGACACAAGACCATCGTGGTAAGAATTGTCAGGATGATAAAGTGAATCAACTTGGAGGACAACCAATCTACAGTAGTTGTTATAGGAGTCACTGCACCAGCCTTTATGGCCATCAGACAGCACTCTACTGCTACACTGAACTAGCCATATCACTTACCTCCCTTACTTTACAGCAGGTATAGGGGACGCCACATGCCATGGGTTTAGGAGACACACAAGAAAAGTCTTTGTTGTAATTTATGTAGTCCTCAAACGTCTTGAAGCCGCAACATTTGAACTGCAGAGAATACCACACATATATAGAAGACAGCTCCTATTTAACTTGCAGAGAAATAATAATTGCAGAAAGAAGCACATCTCCTGACAAGTTGAATATAGTGAGTGAGTGAGTGAGTTGGGGTTAACGCCACTTTTAACAGTATTCCAGTTATATCACCGGGTGTCAGCTTAATGTGGGAGGAAAGCCCGAAGTGATGCAGGTCTAAGATGTTTACCACTTCGGTGAAACCCACGAGCACGGGTATGGTGCTGACAAACCTAGAAACATAATCGCCGCGAACCGGGATTCAAACCCACAATCATAGGTTTCTGGCGTCCCAAGGGACACAACTCTGCACAGCGAATTGCGGTGCCTCAAACGACTGGGCCACCTGTGCCCCCAGTGGAATATAGAAGATTATCGGCTAAAAGAAATGTAATTTTGACTCCCATGTATTGGTAATGTAACTAAAATAATGACTGTAATATCAAAGTTGTTTGGAATTGTTTACCTGAATGGCCAGTGAGTGATTGAATGTTGTTTTACGCCAGTCAGCAATATTCCAGCTATATCATGGTGGCTGAATCTAGGTCAGGTAGACTAGTGATTGATAGCATGAACACCGAACCACACTGCTCATATACAATCAGCCAGGTAACAAGCTGTGAAATATCTTACAACAAGCATGGGTTACTGGAGACCTATTCTACCTAAGTGTGAGTGAGTATGGTTTTACGCTGCTTTTAGCAATATCACAACCGGGGACACCAGAAATGGGCTTCACACATTGTACTCATTTCGGGATCGAACCCGGGTCTTTGGTGTGACAAGGGAACACTTTAACCACAAGGCTACCTGACCGCCCCTATTCTACCAAAGAATTCCTGCAGTGACAAATGTAGAAACAAGCTGCCCCACAGGGTTAGATACGGTCACCAGTCTGCTAGTCTGACACTTGTGAAAATCCAGAAGGACTAGTTGTTTTCTAACAACATGGGTTATTTTATATAAACAACTAGTCCGGAATGAGCTCAGTCTAGTTGGATATGACAAGCTGTGTCTACACCTGCACCACAAGGGGAAGTCTCCTAGCTACTCCATCAGGAGTTGGGACAGGAGTGTCAATGCTGAACTATAGCGGTGACACACTTACAGATTTCTGTATGAAGTTCATGGCCCGGGCAATGTCATCGTTCTCTGTATATTTCTCCACACCAAACATCAATTCATCACTGAGGATGTCGGGGACCTGAAGAATAAGAAAGAAAGTGTCAGTACAGTCAAAACAATCTTTCACAAAGTCACTCACTTCTCTTTGAGTAGGAGTATCAAGATGCATAGATCTATTCTGACAAGATGTTATCACAAGTCTGAATCAAGTGATGAAATAAAATGTATACTATTTTTGCATGTGACATGAGTCAACTGAAGTGAGTGAATGAGTGAGTGTGTGTGTGAGTGAGTAGGTGGGGGAGTGAGTGAGTGAGTGAGTGAGTGGGTGGGGGAGTGAGTGAGTGAGTGAGTGAGTGAGTGAGTGAGTGAGTGAGTGAGTGTGTGTGTGTGTGTGTGTGTGTGTGTGTGTGTGTGTGTGTGTGTGTGTGTGTGTGTGTGTGAGAGAGAGTGAGTGGGTGTGTGAGAGTGAGTGAGTGTGTGTGTGTGTGAGAGAGAGAGAGAGAGAGAGAGAGAGAGAGAGAGAGAGAGAGAGAGAGAGAGTGTGTGTTTGTGTGAGTGAAAGTGAGTGAGTGAGTGAGTGGGTGGGGGAGTGAGTGAGTGAGTGAGTGAGTGAGTCAGTCAGTCAGTCAGTCAGTGTTTGTGTGAGAGTGAGTGAGTGGCCTCACATTGTACCCATGTGGTGAATCAAACACAGGTCTTCAGCATGACGAGTGAACACTTCAACCACTAAGCTACCCCACAGCCCCTTACTTGGGATGAAACTGGCTGCAATATCAGGACAGCGAAACGTTCATGCTGGACCGTAACCACTGTATGTAGCAAATCAAACCTGGATCATCTCAAGGGAGACCAACACACTCTCCTCTAGGCTACCTCACAATCAGACAGACATAGTTCAGTGTGTAACTATCATACATGACTCTGTGAGTTTTCATTCATTTAATGATTCTTCTCTTCCATTTCCAGAAAGTCCCCTACCACAAAATATCCTTTATGACACCATTAAAACTCCTCATAATGTCCCTAACAAAAGTCGAACACCATAAACCCTAAGGTTTATTAACCCGCCATGAAAAAAATATCCATAAATTTCGCACAAACAGATCCTATTATGAAGGTGACAGCCAGGACCAAAGGGCAATGCTAGGTTCTTTACTACAAAACACACCAATCAATAACTCCCTACTTTAACACATTTTGTAAAAATGTCAAATATTGTTATACAACATTGGCCCCAACACTGAGGCATGAGCTCCACAATGGCACCCAGCATGAAGGCGTGTGCAGGGTCCATGTAGACGCGGTCGACGCTGTGGTCGGCATATGCCGTGTGCACCCATCTGTGACCCACTCCTGCGTTTATGTCCTCACCTAACTAACCACCAGCTGTGTCTGGCCGTTACGCTCGTATTGATCACACTGTACACTGGGTCTACACACATATTACACAACTAGAAGCAGGCTTGTGTCTCCAGCTGTTGTCTGTGCTACCAGTGGTATATAGAGTAAACAATCTTACCAGTCCATGTAAATCTTCAGGACGTACGCCAATTATTGAACTATTGGACACAAGCAACTTCATCTTGCCTCAATCCCATCAAAGAATGATGAGATGAGATGAGATGAGATGAGATGAGGTGAGGTGAGGTGAGGTGAGGTGAGGTGAGGTGAGGTGAGGTGAGGTGAGGTGAGGTGATATTGGGTTTAACAAGTTCAAGATTATTGCACTTATTTAACGATGCGTGTGTGTACGTGTGTACATGTGTGTGTGTACATGTGTGTGGCTGCTAGTATTAGTCAGGATTTATGCCAGTTCTATAGTGCTAGCCCACTGAATTACCATGGAGCAGTTTAACATGGCAATCAACTCAAACACAGTTTAACATGACACCCAACTCAGACACAGTTTAACATGGACACCCAACTCAGACACAGTTTAACATGGACACCCAACTCAGACACAGTTTAACATGACACCCAACTCAGACACAGTTTAACATGGACACCCAACTCAGACAAAGTTTAACATGGACACCCAACTCAGACACAGTTTAATATGGCACCCAACTCAGACAGTTTAACATGGCACCCAACTCAGACACAGTTTAACATGACACCCAACTCAGACACAGTTTAACATGGCACCCAACTCAGACACAGTTTAACATGGCACCCAACTCAGACACAGTTTAACATGACACCAAACTCAGACACAGTTTAACATGGACACCCAACTCAGACACAGTTTAACATGACACCCAACTCAGACACAGTTTAACATGGACACCCAACTCAGACACGGTTTAACATGACACCCAACTCAGACACAGTTAAACATGGCACCCAACTCAGACACAGTTTAACATGGCACCCAACTCAGACACAGTTTAACATGGCACCCAACTCAGACACAGTTTAACATGGACACCCAACTTAGACACAGTTTAACATGGCACCCAACTCAGACACAGTTTAACATGGCACCCAACTCAGACACAGGTTAACATGGCACCCAACTCAGACACAGTTTAACATGGACACCCAACTCAGACACAGTTTAACATGGACACCCAACTTAGACACAGTTTAACATGGCACCCAACTCAGACACAGTTTAACATGGACACCCAACTCAGACACAGTTTAATACGGCACCCAACTCAGACACAGTTTAACATGGACACCCGACTCAGACACAGTTTAACATGACACCCAACTCAGACACAGTTTAACATGACACCCAACTCAGACACAGTTTAACATGGACACCCAACTCAGACACAGTTTAATACGGCACCCAACTCAGACACAGTCTAACATGGACACCCAACTCAGACACAGTTTAACATGACACCCAACTCAGACACAGTTTAACATGGCACCCAACTCAGACACAGTTTAACATGGCACCCAACTCAGACACAGTTTAACATGGACACCCAACTCAGACACAGTTTAATACGGCACCCAACTCAGACACAGTTTAACATGGCACCCAACTCAGACACAGTTTAACATGGACACCCAAATCAGACACAGTTTAACATGGCACCCAACTCAGACACAGTTTAACATGGCACCCAACTCAGACACAGTTTAATACGGCACCCAACTCAGACACAGTTTAACATGGCACCCAACTCAGACACAGTTTAATATGGCACCAGACTCAGACACAGTTTAACATGACACCCAACTCAGACACAGTTTAACATGGACACCCAACTCAGACACAGTTTAACATGGCACCCAACTCAGACACAGTTTAACATGGACACCCAACTCAGACACAGTTTAACATGGCACCCAACTCAGACACAGTTTAACATGACACCCAACTCAGACACAGTTTAACATGGACACCCAACTCAGACACAGTTTAACATGACACCCAACTCAGACACAGTTTAACATGGCACCCGACTCAGACACAGTTTAACATGGACACCCAACTCAGACACAGTTTAACATGGCACCCAACTCAGACACAGTTTAACATGGCACCCAACTCAGACACAGTTTAATATGACACCCAACTCAGACACAGTTTAACATGGACACCCGACTCAGACACAGTTTAACATGGACACCCGACTCAGACACAGTTTAACGTGGACACCCAACTCAGACACAGTTTAACATGGCACCCAACTCAGACACAGTTTAACATGGCACCCAACTCAGACACAGTTTAACATGGCACCCAACTCAGACACAGTTTAACATGGCACCCAACTCAGACACAGTTTAACATGGACACCCGACTCAGACACAGTTTAACATGGACACCCAACTCAGACACAGTTTAACATCTTTTGATTTGTTTTGATATGAGGGCCGTGGATTGAACCACCGACTTCAGTCTCCAGGTAGACACTCTGTCCACTAGACCACTGACATTGACTCAAATAATGATAATGAAACATTCTGCAGCAGCTTCAGTATCTGACACGGTAGATCTTCCCAAAGCTGCCCATGTCCATCACCGAGACTATTTACTGCATACAACATGACAAACCCTAGGGACTTATAATATGGTAAAGGTGGTATTTAGTGTACAAGTCAAACATCACTACTGTAAAAAAATAAAGGAAAATTTGACGGCCATGAAGAAAATAAATGTTATGTTCACTGAACTCTTTCATTACTCAACCATTTTTTCACGACCTTCCCTTCAATTACATAATTATTTCCCCAAGCATGTCATGTTTATCGTTGACCCGCCTCCAATTCTCCCCGACCCATCCTTCCCCTGAAGCTATTTCTGGCCATGCAGCATGAAGTGATGAGAGAGCTGGTCACTCCACTACTTCACATGGGATGAAATCATTTAAACCTTCAACCATAACTGAGAATGAAACATCAGTATAGAAATGGCTATGTGGACATGATGTAGAGAATGAATTCCAGCTCGGGTTAGGATAGTGGGTTGGTTTGGTGGGATAGTGGGTTGGTTGGGTGGTGTGGGATAGTGGGCTGTCTGAATCAGGAAGGATAGTGGGTTGGTTGTGTGGGATAGTGGGTTGGTTGGGTCGGGTGGGATAGTGGGTTGGTTGGGTGGTGTGGGATAGCGGGTTGGTTGGGTGGTGTGGGATAGCGGGTTGGTTGGGTGGTATGGGATAGCGGGTTGGTTGGGTGGTGTGGGATAGCGGGTTGGTTGAGTGGTGTGGGATAGCGGGTTGGTTGGGTGGTGTGGGATAGCGGGTTGGTTGGGTGGTGTGGGATAGCGAGTTGTTGGGTGGTGTGGGATAGCGGGTTGGTTGGGGGTGTGGGATAGCGGGTTGGTTGGGTGGTGTGGGATAGCGGGTTGGTTGGGTCGGGTGGGATAGTGGGTTGGTTGGGTGGTGTGGGATAGCGGGTTGGTTGGGATAGTGGGTTGGTTGGGTGGTGTGGGATAGCGGGTTGGTTGGGTCGGGTGGGATAGTGGGTTGGTTGGGTGGTGTGGGATAGCGGGTTGGTTGGGATAGTGGGTTGGTTGGGTGGTGTGGGATAGTGGGTTGGTTGGGTGGTGTGGGATAGCGGGTTGGTTGGATGGTGTGGGATAGCGGGTTGGTTGGGTCGGGTGGGATAGTGGGT